TTGGCTCGTGGCGTTGACCCGGTCCAGCCCTGGCCATTGTGGCCATCTGAAGAGTAAGAAGCATCTCTATCTTGCCCCCTCTTTCTCTGTAACTCTGAGTTGCAAAACAAATAAATATTTTTATTTATTTATTTATTTTTTAAATTTATTTTTATTATTTTTTCATTGGAAAGGCGGATATACAGAGAGGAGAGACAGAGAGGAAGATCTTCCATCTGATGATTCACTCCCCAAGTGAGCGCAACGGGCCGATGCTATGCCGATCCGAAGCCAGGAGCCTCTTCTGGGTTTCCCACGCGGGTGCAGGGTCCCAAAGCTTTGGGCCGTCCTCAACTGCTTTCCCAGGCCACAGGCAGGGAGCTGGAAGGGAAGCGGGGCTGCCGGGATTAGAACCAGCGCCCATATGGGATCCCGGGCGTGCAAGGCGAGGACCTTTAACCACTTGCGCCACCGCGCCGGGCCCAACATTTTTTTTTTTAAAGAAGCAAATACATACGTTGAAAAAACCAATGCATGGATTTCAAATTTTTCTGCACAAAAACAAATTTCTTTGATTCTGTTTTCCACTCACTTTTTAAAAAGATTTATTTATTTATGTTTATTGCAAAAGCAGATCCGATTTATAGAGAGAAAACAGGACAGAGAAATATCTCCATGGGCTGGTTCACTCCCCAAGTGGCCACACAGCTGGAACTGAGCTGATCTGAAGCCAGCAGCCAGGAGCTTCTTCCAGGTCTCCCATGGGGGTGCAGGATCCCAAGGCTTTGGGCTGTCCTAGACTGCTTTCCCAGGCCACAAGCAGAGAGCTGGATGGGAAGTGGAACAGCCAGGACACAAACCAGTGCCCATATGGGATCTCAGCACATGTGCAAAGTGAAGATTTCACCATTGAGCCATCATGCCAATCCTGCCACTCCCCAGCGTGTGCTTTCTAAGTACTCTAGAATATGCCATAGAAAAGTTAAGGGAGAATTATAGAAGTTGTACTCCAATTCAATGTCATTAAGAACACAGACATCTACAATAACAAATGCTAATTGTAAAATATAGGATTAAATGCTCTCAGTAAATTGTACTATTTTATTTTCATCACAAACAACTGAGTAGGGAAATTACTTATCTAAAGCTTAAATAGCCACCAAGAATTATTCCTTTAAGCCCTGCTACGAACATCTCTTCTGTGGCTCTCTTGCCCACATCCACAATCTAAGAAACCATGAAAAAGTCGGACAAAATCAAATTATTGACAGACATGCAAAACAGCTGATGGGGGTAGTTCAAAATGACCAGGATCCCGGATGACAAAGAAACGTCACAGATTGAAAGAGACATGACAAGTGAATGGATTTGATCCTGAAGCAAGGAAAGGACTAGACAAAAAGCTGGGCAAGTATAAAAAAGATCTGTAGCTAATTACATTCATGGCATTGTATCAGTACCCAATCGCTTGGCTTTAATGATTGTGACAATTCCAGATCAGTAAACGGTATATAGAAATTTTGCAACTCTGTGAACAAAAATTATTTTGAAATTTTTTTCTTAAAAGAGTATCTTGCTGTAAGAATACAAGATCACTTAACGTGATGCCCATCTTTTGCAGGTGTGGGTCTGTCAGCTAATAGCTGGACTGAATATGGTGGACAGCAGGGACAGCGTGTTAGTTTCACTTAGACTGAGGCTGGGCATCGCTAAGGGTGAAGCACTTTGTGAAACTGCAATAAAATGCAGACATTTTCTGTTTTAATTGAATGACATAAATGCGCCTGTAAAAATTTATAATAATATTTCACTCTGCATTACACAATCACGACTCCATGCTTGGATAATGATGACAGCCTGAAATTGATCTAACGCCATCAACATTTAAACATAACATCAGATTTTCGTTCATTCCTCTTGTTACTTTTCAACGGTTTTCTGTCAGGCAACACCTGGCAAAATAAACCATTTTCATATAAATTGTAGGTATCCCATCATGAATATGGTGTGATAGGCTGTTATTCCTGTATTCCCCATCCCCCACATTTTATTTTGATTTTGAGTATAATTCTACCCTAGAAAGGTGAAAGTCTATATCTATTGCCAATGCCAACATTTTTCCCTTGATTTTTTTTTTTTAATCCCAAAAGTATTAGGGGGAAAAATAGGACTCACAATACTTAATTGATCACATTTCCTTAACAAAGCCCTGTTGTGGCTCATCTCCTCCTGCTGCCCACCTCAAGGAAGGGGTCTGCACTGCCAAAACTAAAAACAAGCAACTTGGCCATGTCTTGGGTTTGTGATATGACTCACGTGATCAATATACACTTCTTTCCACTATACCATGCCCTTGAAAAATAAATTTTTTTTGTTTTCTACAAAGGTTATGAGATGTCATAAAAATGTCTAATGCATCTGGTTTAAGAATCCAATTCTTCCTTCACATATTTCTGCATCTGTTCACAAAATCCCTCAACTTCAAAGAAAGCTTTTCAAGAGTAAAAGAAGATCCACGCAGGAAAAGGGGCCATAAATTTTTAGTAGTCCTTTTCTGAGCCCATTTTAATAACAGCAGTGTGGGACAAGTATCTCTTTCAGAAACTTAAAATATCAGAAACAGTATTAATGACTACAGATTTGTTTAGAGATTTATGTTTGCAAAGCTTTCTGGTCATGAAAATGATATAACTTCAATATAGAATATGCGAAAACTAGAGAAAGCTTAAAGCAAACTTAAATCAGTTTTAATTCACTATTTAGGAAGACTAAATAAAAAAAAACCCTGAAGAAACAAATCAAAGCAAGTTTTTTTCTTCTATTTTTTCCATACATATATTTATATATAAATATCTCCATATAAACAATGTTCTAAACATAGTATGAATACAATTTTTTAAAAATCTTTTCTCAATCATCCAAACCGTATTTTCGGAAGACTTCCACAAAATGTATTTGAGAGAAAAGAGAGTGGTGTGCTCTTATCTGCTAGTTCACTCTCCCTGGCATGGCAGGACGGACCAAAGCTTGGAATTCAGCCCAGGTCGCCCCGGAGGGCCAGGTACCCAACCTCCCCAGCTGTCACCTGTGGCTTCCAGGGGCACATGAGCAAGCCACAGTAGAAGCAGAACTCTAACCCAGCCCGCCATGTGCAATGCAGGAGAGCTTCACAGTGGACACAGACACCCGCCCCAAGCCGTATTTTCAATGACTGAAATTACATGTAGACTTATACTGAACACACACTTTCACATTTTCTTTCTTGTTATACTCAAACCTAAAGGTCTGAGAATATTAAACTGTTCTGGAAACTCTACACCTTGAAAGCACCCAGACTGATTGCTGATTAATGTTAAGAGTAATCTCATCCATAAATACCACTAAAACAATAGTAGAAGGGTAAGAATTTTTTCCTTTGGCATTTTTAATGAATTACTGTTTTAAGCTTCCCCAGGCAATCATTAGTGGGTTTTACTTTTTTTTTTCTTTCGTTTTTAATTCTTTATCATCCTAAGTTTTTTTTTTTTAAGATTTGTATTTATTTTTATTGAAAAGTCAGATATACAAAGAGGAGGAGAGACAGAGAGGAAGATCTTCCATCTAATGAGTCACTCCCCAAGTGAGCGCAATGGCTGGAGCTGAGTCAATCCGAAGCCAGGAGCCTCTTCCGGGTCTCCAACACAGGTGCAGGGTCCCAAGGCTTTGGGCCGTCCTCGACTGCTTTCCCAGGTCACAGGCAGGGAGCTGGACGTGAAGTAGGGCCTCTGAGATTAGAACTGGCGCCCATATGGGATGCCGGGCACAAGCAAAGCAAGGATTTTAACCACTACGCTATCATGCCGGGCCCCATCCTAAGCTTTAATATGCTATTATCTAGAAACAGTCAATTCCAGCAACGCACAACCAAACCCTCAAACTTCAAGGAGATAAGTATTTGGTGGATTTACCTAATTTTAAAATCAACTCTTTGTTAACACTGTTGCCTGAAATTGAGAATAACTATTGAAAAGTTGTGTCTTAACAAAGAATTCTCTGTACATGTGAGGTGTACAGCAACAACGAGGAAGACATGAAGTCCAGAATAGCAATTCACAAGATGATCAGAAAACTAAGTTGAACTTGCACCTTGACTTCCCTAATTATAGTACTATCATACTCGGGCTTCATAATCATAGATTTTCCAAAGCTCAAAGGTCCAGAAAGACTCTGAGTTTTCATATCACACAATTAGGTCTTGGCAAGAATAGCCCTGGACTCCAGCTTTCTAACGTCCACTCTGGTGCTCCTTCCGGTATACCTGCCACAGTGGGACACCCTTAAACCCACACACCGGGATAAGGAAGGATGCAAGCATTCCCAGAAATGACACAGCAATCACAGGACCTCAAGTTCTAGTTCCCAAAGTATCGCCGTGGAAGAGTATGCCCTCTTAACCCTAGAACACTCTCGGAGACAGGTAATGGACGTCTGAATGAGGAAAAGGGGATAGCCACTACCTGTCCACCATCTGCGGCCATGAGGACCAAGCCTCAGAAGGCAACGGGCCGTGCTCCGAACACTCGTCAAGTGCAGTGTGGCCGCCGTTCTTGAAGGTGAGCTAGAACTACAACGTTCAACAGCAGGAATCAGAGTGGACAGAGGACTAATAACCACATGGCCAGAGAGAGGGTGGCAGGCGGCGGTCTCGGCCTAAACTGCCCAACATTTAATTTTTCCATTGGTCCGCTGTGCGGGAAAAGGAAGGTATAGATAATGGGACAGGAGCAGCAGTCCCTCTGCTTCGTCACTGCAACCTAAGTTGGCTTCCAGTGTTGCTCGGCAACAGCGGCGGCGTCGCACTCCACCAGCGGGCGTTACGTCATCACGTAGCCTGCCACGCACCACTCCAGAGGGCAGTCACCGGCGACATGCTCTGAGGAGAGAAAGAGCTCTGTCGCTTCCGAGGAAGCAGGAAGAGAGGAATAAGTGAAGGGAGAGAAGGAGGTGAGAAGAACCTCGCGGGGTGGGAAAGCAGCTGTTACCTGGGGAGCACAAGCAGCGTCGGGTCTTGTATGAAGTGCCCGGATGAAGCTCCCGCACCCGCGGGCCTTCCGCATTGAGCGCAGCGCCATCTTGAGAAGGGCGGAGCTGAGTTTGGCGAATGACGTGTTCCCGGCGAGCCGACCTCCCCCCCCGCCCATCCCTCGGCTCTTTACTGCGCATGTCCGTGCGCCAGCTGCTCTCCCTGCCTTGGGGCGCGCGGCGGCGGGGCTGGTGGAGTCCAGCACGGGGCGGAGCCAGGCAGGCGGGGTCGGGTACGGGGCGGAGCCAGGCAGGCGTGGTCAGGCATGGGGCGGAGCCAGGCAGGCACGGGGCGGAACCAGGCAGGCGTGGTCGGGCACGGGGCGGAGCTTTTCTTCACCGAAGGCCTAGGCCTGCCTTGAGGGAATATGCCCAGCAAGGCTTTAGGGTAGAAAGTGAAGTTGTTTGACTAGTCCTAGCCAAAGAGAGGCAGCTTTCACCTGGAGGAGAACCTCCCTGTTGTCATAGAGGGCTTGGATCTTTGCAGACACAGCCTCCTAAATTCAGTGTGCAAACTGTGGAGCTGTATGTGGTCCCCACGCAGCACGCTGTTTGAGGTGCTGTAGAAGCCAGCACCTAGTTGGGGGCGGGGAGGCGAGGAAGGGTGAGGGGGTCACCTGGGTCCTCAGCACGACCCAGGGAGAGTTTCAGAAAAAGGATGCTTGGTGAAAGAAATCGTGTTGTGTTCCGGATTGAATTGTGAGAGGGGGTTCATAGCGTTCAGCTTCTGGTAAAACTCCTGCAGATCTTCCCAGAGGGTCCTCAGAAGCCACTGATGTGTTTCATCCATTGAGCTACTATTGAAAGTTATAAGGTGGGGAATAATTTGTGCAAGGGATACGTGCTGGAATAAGAAGCTGAGGTCTAGCTGGGTTAAGGTAAAACTTAAATCGAAACCCTTCAGTTAATAAGTCGTATAAATGTACAAAGTACTGGTGAATTTCAAGCAGAGCTGGTATGATTTAGAAGCGATAGGTAAGGAATTCTACGGATGCAGGGAAGAGCACTGAAGGAAATAAAATTTTATGCTGCAGTAAAACAGATTGGTTTGGTTTTGTACATTAATATTTGGAGTTCTTGTGGTGCTTGCAAATGTGAAGCACATTAGGTAAATATATGGGCCTGAGGAGAGAGGTTTGAACTGCAGAACGTGCTTGGAATCAAGGGATGTTCAGGACCACTAGATACAGCGTGTGGAATATACCATGCACCAAGAGACGCAGGAGAGCCCAAAGAATGTGTTAGCACTGAATTCCAGATGGTGCCCCAGGAAGTGATATATGCTATCCATTGTAAAAATGAAGTCTTATAAATGCCTTATAAATGCCTTAAGTATTTGGTATTCATAGACACAGCTTTTTTTTTTTCCTTAAAGGTAATTAGACTATATGAGCCTAGGAATTAGCAAGGTTAAACCTAGCGGTAAAACAGCACCACGAGCTGTCACAGGATGCACCATTTTTTCTCAGGCAGTAATTTCTTCTCTGATCTGCTGGAACATAATCCACTAGTAGTATTTTAGGGGGAGAAGTTTCCATGAGATATATCCACCAAAGAAAATATATCAAAACACAAATTATTTTAGTAGCCCACCTTTTTATTATTATTTTATTTGAAAGGCAGATTTGTATGGTGAAAGTAGGAGAGATAGAGACAAAATCTTGTGTCTGCTGATGCACTCTTCAAATGACTGTAACAGCTAAAATTGAGCTGATCCAAAGCTGGGAGCTTCGTCCGGGTCTCTCACACAGGTGCAGAGTCCCAAGGACTTGAGCCATCCTCCACAGCTTTCCCAGACCATAAGCAAGGAACTGGATGGGAAGTGGAGCAGTCAGAACATGAACCAGCACCCAGATGAGATGCCAGTGCCATAGGATTAGCAGTGCAGAGGATTAACTTGTTTGCCACCACACCAGCCCCAGTATCCTCATTTTTTTTTAAGCAAATTATTTACAAATGTTAAGATTTTATTAAAGTGATAAAATGTGCTTCCAACTGCAGCAGTGAATTGGTCACTCTTGGGTGGCACTCAGTGTGGTGCTTGGACAAGAAGTATATGTTGCATGCTTGGGGGAAGGCTGCAACCACCACCATGTTCCCAGTGTGCCTAGGGAAGGTTGCGACCACCCTAAGGATGCAGACTTGGGTGGGGAGAAGGCTAGGGACATAACACTAGTAGGCATGTAGGGATCTGGGAACTCACCTCTATTCAGGTGGAGCAAACCTGGGAATTTCCTTATGTGCATGGTCCTAGGCAAGGTGAGGAGAGCAGAGGGGAGAGCCCCAGGTCAGCACACTGCTCTGGTGTGCTGGTGGATCAGGCCTAGAAACTTCAATAGGCATGGATTTGGGTCTGTAGAGGAGTAAGGCACCAGGCCAGCACATATGACAGGAGCTTGGGACCCTGGTAGGTGGCAGAGCACCAGACCAGCACACCACCCACTGAGCTTCTGAAGGCTGGGCTAGGCACAAGGATTGTGGATTGATTAGGGAAAGGAGCAAGGGGATATGGGGTAGGGAGGACCATCCTGGGAGTATCTTGCAGGTGAGGAATAACTCCTGAGGACTCCCAACGACAAGACTACTGTACTTGCAGATAAACAATGGGACTGAGACCTGGTGGCTTGGACGGGAGAGACTGGAAGATTTTTATGGGTCAGACCGATGCCCCCACCCACATGGGAGTCCTGAACTGGGCTTGTTAGTGTGGAAAATTGCTGACCATCACATGCCAGTCCACACGCTAGCTGTGGCTGGGGTTCTGTTTGGCAGGGCTAGATCCCAGTACCTGACAGTAAGTGATCAGAGGATAGGTCACATTAGGCTTGACCATGATACCAACCAGCACACAAGAGAATGGGGCCCGGGGGTAGATTCTGTGGGGGTATGTGGGCTGAACCCTATGAATTACAAGTCCAACTGGTTAGCTTAAGAGTTGAGATGGTGATGAGTAGAGCTAGGCATGATCATGGAACTCACTGACATGGGCACTGGGGCTGGGAACAAGCAGGACAGGTCCAGGTTGCAGCACCCACATGAGCACCCCAAAACAGTGTGTGGCGTGGGCTGGGCTACAACATCCACCAGCTCATACAAAGGCTGGGACGGATGGGGCAGGCCATGCTGGGTAAGGGCCTAGCACCCACTGGCATGTGTGAGATCTGGGTCTGGGAGTGGCCCAAGCAGGGGAACTTGGGAAACTCCCCTAGTGGGTCATAGCTCCTGCTGGTGAGCATGTGGTCCAGGCCTGGGTGTTGGGCAGGCTGGGTACAGTAGCCCCATCTACTAGCAATTGGGAGAGTTGGTTTTGAAAGGGAGTGGCCTGGGCAGGGCTAAGTGAATTGTAACCCACTGGCAAGTGCAGAAACCAGGCTGGAATGCAAGTTACAACAGGCAAGGCTGTCACATTTACCAGTTTGCCAGGGATGGGAGCAGACTGCGAAGCTGCTGAAGTTTCAGCACCTGCCAACGAGAGTTAGTACTGGGGCCCAACCAGCTTCAGGCTAGGCTGCAGCATCCAAAGGCAAAGGCTAAAACAGGTGAGGGACTACGCCAAGCTGGGTCAGAGCAACCAGTGGCACGTGTGAGCTCTGTGGCTGGGAGCAGGCCTGGTTGACGAGCTAAGGGGACACCCAGGCTGGGTTGTGGTTCCCATTGGAGAGTGCAGGGGCTGGAGTGGGGGCTGCTGTCTGGTTTGGTCATAACTGCAGTGTCCCTTGGCATGATGTGGACTGAGTCTGGGGTGTGTCAGATTGGGCTAGACTCCAGTACCCACTGGTGCTCGTGAGAACCAGGGTGGGTGTAGGACGGGCTGGAGTAGGTTTTTGCCCCTACTGAGCTATACCTGAGTTGTGTCTGGGTGTGGACTAGGCTTACCTAGGCTGTAACACCCAAAAGTAAGAACTGGAATGGGTGAGAGCCAGTCAGGAAAGGCTACTGTTCATGCGTGGACTAAGTAGGGCTGACCCATGGACTCACTTCTGTGCATGAGAGCTAGCATTGGGAGAGGTTCTGATGGAGCATCTTAGGAAACTTCTCTATCAGGACACAGTCCCTACAGGTAAGCGCAAGAACCAAGAAAAGGAGCAGCCCAGACCAGGCCAGGTTATGGTCTCTACAGGCTTAACTTTGGCTCAGTAAGGGGGCGAGCCAGGCTGGGCCAGTTCATATTACCTGCTGGCAAACCAGAGAGCCAGAATGGTGTGTGAGTCATGCCAGGTCAGGCAGGCGGTAATATCAGCCAGTTCACATGAGGGCCAGAACTAGGGCTGGCTGGGCTGGATAGTCTGTAGTCCCTACCAGCGCAAGCTGGAACTGGGGAGTGGGCTAGGCTGGGCCAGGCTATAGCACCACCCACTGGCAAGTGCTGAGGTGAGGCGGGCCATGCCAGATTGGGCTGCAGCGCCTAACTGGCACATGATAGCGGGGAAGAGTAGGTGAACCCGGTAAGCGGCTGCATGGGGCTCCACTGCTGGGCCGTTATTCCCATTGGTGAGCATGAGAGCTGAGATTGGGGATAGACCAGGCTGGGCAAGGCTACAACATCTGTTGGCTTGCATGTAATCTGGATCGGGGGAGAGCCAGGTTGGGTGAACTGTAGCTATTGGTGCATGCATAAGCCAGCCTGGTTATCGGTTGGTTGAGCATTGCCGCAGCATCAGCTGGCAAATGCTGGCATGGAGGTGAAAACTCTGTCTAGCTAAACTGCAATACCACCTAGAGAGTAAGATCTGGGAGTGGGAGTGGGCCTAGTAGGAAAACAGTGGGCACCTCCCTTTTGGGTTGCCACTCCCACTGGTGAGTATGAAAACCAGGACTGGGACAGGCATGGCTAGACAGAGAGTAGCACCCACCAACACATATGTGGGCTGGATAGTGAGGCTGGTTGGGTTGAACTAGGCCACAATGCCCAATGAAACGTCCGAGAGTGGAATGAAATGTGGGACAGACTGAATCAGTTTGCTGTTCGTGCTGGCAAGTATAGAAACTAGGGCAGGCCTGGGGAGTTATTGTGGGTCACTCCAACTAGGCTTCAGCTCCCACTGGTTTGAATGAGGGCCTAGTAGGTAGTGGAAAGGATTGGGCTGGACTGCAGCAACCATTACTTTGTGTAGGAGACAGGGCTGGAGACAAAACTGACCC